GATTCGTAAGAAGACATTTTTCGATAACTGGAGGCTGTGGTGGAAGGTGAACCTAGATTTCTTCGATAACTATGGGTGTGATTTTTTTCATCTCCACATTTAATTTAGTCTCGAAACATTTAGCAACTTATAAGAAATTTTATGTAACTAATGTTTGACATAAATATTTATTTTTAATACCTATACTATTACGTAGTCAACTATATCATGGTATGTGTCTTGCACGTGCTTCTCACTAGTATGTAGAAAAAAATGAGAGAGGCTCGCAAGCTGCTTAGCTTGGCCACATACGAGCCGAGCTCCTGGGCAACTTTTTTAAAACAAGATCGAGTCAAATGGAAATGATTATTTTGAGCAGAACCATGTAGGAGGACAGATTGAGCTAATTTTAAGAGAGTGCTGATGGCTTTTCTTTCGCTCTTGTAAGTTGGAACCAATTTGCTATCTTGTCAATAGATTGGGGACCAACAATGCAATCCATTTTTCGTACAACGGACTCTATGGGTACTAGATAGCGATCAATTTGACGTTATTCTTCTGGGAGTTGCACTCGCAACTGGTAAATAAGAGAGTTGTACCTTGTGGTTCAAGTTGTGTACTCCTAAAAATATAAGAAAAATTCCCAAACACTACCACATTAACCTAATAATAAGCCTAGGAATAAATGTGTGGATAATACGAAAATAAATGAAATGTTAACGGGGTAAGTCATTATAACACACACACACACTCTCTCTCTCTCTCTCTCTCTCTCATTAAATATAAATTACTAAATTAGCGTTAAGATTTAAATTATAAATAGAGATAAATGATCTATTAAGCACAAGTTGTTAGCATAAACTAAACAAAGGTGATACGACACACCAATTAATTGGTTGATCATATAATTTTCTGACCTACCATGAACTTATTCATCAATTATTGATGTACCCTTTCATCGGTGTTTGTTTATAGTAAATCATTTCTTTATAGATAGAATCTGCTGGAGATGAAAATTGAATAGACCATCTATTCATTAGACAGTGATGCTTGATAAATTGAATACGTTTTTATCTAGATGCCACTTAGATTGCAATCCATGAAGTGGGTTGGAGATCCTCTTAGTAGCCGCAGATGATTTTTTTTAGTCAACAATAACCATTTGTCCAAGTTCATAATCGTGGCCGCCACATACATAAACACATACATGTGGATAGAGTGGTTCTTCCCTTGTCCAAAACCTTGCACAACTTTTAATGTTCTTCCAGAGCTTCAAAATTATGACGGAGCAGAAAAAAATGAAACGTGTAATGCAGGCATTGCCATTAGAGAACATCAAGTCGCATGAAAAAAAAATGCTATTCTTGCATCCAAATTAGAGATTGAAACTTAGAGCAATTTTCACTACCAAAGGAAATGTTATTCTCGAAACCTCAGCAGTCCAAAGTTGAATTAAGCATTATTCTACCCTCAAAAGTAGCCTATTCTAATGAGAGAATTTTTTTTGTGGGTTGTGTGTGGAATATCTCAGTACAATCTTCTTGTTGAGAGCAACAAAACCTGAGGCCATAAAAACGTATATTCGACCATGGTCAGCAGCCTTCATTAGCATATTACTAGTGATAGCGCATATTTTTATTGCACTTTAAGGACTATCTTCATGAACTCATAGACAAAATAACTAATGGCAGCNCATGGTCAGCAGCCTTCATTAGCATTTTACTAGTGATAGCGCTTATTTTATTGCACTTTAAGGACTATCTTCATGAACTCGTAGACAAAATAACTAATGGCAGCCGATGGTAAAACCTGAAAAATTGAAACATAAAGAAGAACGTGAATTTAACATGTTCAAAAGAGGATTGTGATGATAAGTATTTCACCTAATGTATTACCGTCTATGGATTTAAAAATATTCTATATCAATGAGCAAAAATAGCAAAGGAACGTCAGTGCAGTTTCCGGCAAAGCTTAAGGGCCTGTTTGGTACAAATTT